GCCGCTCCCTGCGGCCGGCCCGGCCCACGCACTCTCGGCCTCCTCGCGCAGGCCCTGGTGACGCTCGCCCTCCTGCCGCGCCGCCTGCAGCTGCGCCAGCTCGTGGCGGAGCTGCTCGTTGTCCACCAGCGCCTTCTGCTTCTGCTTGCGCTGCTCCTCCAGCTCGGCCTCCAGCGCGTTCACCTGGCCCTTCAGCTGCGCCACGTACCGCTGCGCCTGCAGGCGGGAGGCAGGGCGTGGGCTGGGTCGGCCTCGGCCTGTGCGGGAAGCCCATCCCCACCTGCGCCCCTCACCTCCAGCCTCATCTTCTCCAACTCGCCGCGGAGCATCTCCACCTCCCTCTTTAAGTGCTCGATCTGGAGGTCCCTGGACACAGAGATCTTGGGGTTCAAATTCAGTCAACCAGGGAAACCAAAGACCCGGGCACAGGGACGTTTCTCAGCAGGGGTCACTCGGGATTTGGGATCTCACAGCTAGTGCTCCCCACCCCAGCAGCTCCCCAGGCCCTCACCTGTCATCCTTCACGGAGCCATTGGGGGGTCCAAACGTCTGATCAAAGAGATCGGCCACCACCTGCCACAGCAAAGCATGGTGACCCCTGTCCCACTCACTGTGCCCTCCAGGCCAGGGGGCAGAGGGAGGCACAGTCACCCCAGCACCCCCTCAGCCTCATGCTGCTGCTGTGGGGGGACATGGGGGACACAGGAAGGAGGGCTCACCGCTGGTTCCTCGGCGGGGGGTCCGGTGCTAATCTCTATGAGGTTCTCGGGTTCCTCGTCCTCCGGGGTCTCCTCGGGGATCACCACCACGGGTTTGATGTGCTCAGCCAGGGCTGAGGCCCGCAGGAAGTTAGGGGGTCCCTGCAGGGGCAACAGGTGGGAGCTGCTCAGCCGCCCTAGAAAAGCCTGCCCTCCACTGTCCCCAGAGCCCGTGGGGGCCCAGCCAGGTGCCTGGTGTCCCTGAAGGAGCAGAGACCAGAGGCTGCAGCAAAAGCTCAGCCTGGCCGGCGGTCTGAGAAGGGGCACAAGTACCTCAGGCAGCCGGGGGATCTGGATGAGCCGCTTGAAGTAGAGCATGTCAGAGGCTCGGCGGAAGAAGTTTCTGAGGCTGCCGGCAGAAGGATGCCGAGGGCATGTCATGGAGGAGCCGTGGACCCTCTTCCCTGCAGTGCCCCAGCCCTGCCCAGAGCTGATACCTGTGGAACTGCTCGTGGAACCGGTCCCTGTGGCCCTGCAGGGTGTCCGCTGGGAGGCCTAGGGACAGCACAAGTTTATTTTTTTTTTTATTTAAAAAAAAATTTTTTTTTCCTTTTTGTCTTTTTTCGTGACCAGCAACGGAATCGCAACCCTCAGTGTCGTGCCCGTACCGGACCGGGACCGGCAACGGGATCGAAACCCTTGGTGTTGCACCCGCACCTCACTCAGCCAGTGAGCGGCCAGTCTGTATGTGGGATCCGAACCCTCGGCGGGAGCGTCGCCACACTCCCCAGCAGCGCACTGTAGCAGTGCGCCACCAGGCTGGCCCCGACAGCACAAGTTTAAAGGACTTCCTCTCTGCACATGCTCTGTGGCTTACTTCCCCTCCCTGTTCCTCCATGTTCTAGAACCATCACGGATTAGAGAGATCACCTGGCCAGTCCTGCCACCCCCTGGGAAGAGGAGAGGATCAGAGGGTTCAGATCTCAACCTTCTGGGCTAGGGAAGGAAACAGTGGGTGCAGGGAGGGTATTACGTCCACGACCGCCTGATCTGTACCAGGCTTCGGGGGTGCACTATAGAAAAGTGCTTTTAAGATGCACACTTGCCTGGAGCTAACACTAAAATAGCCCACATTTGCTAAGTCAGCAGTTCTCAAAGTGTGGCCCAGGGAGACCCTTTCAGAGGTTGGTGAGGTCACTGCATGACACCATGTGCCTTCTCCCTGTGGTGCCCCCCAGCACACAAGGCAGGGTAGGGGGGAGATGTCTGGGAGCAGGCAGGGCACTGTCTTCTAAGCCAGGCATGCAGTGGTGAAAATGGAAAACCTTGCCACTCTTCTCATTAAATTTTTTGTGTTTTTTGGAAAACAGTGATTTTCCATAAAATGTATGTTATTTATGTTGATGGGTAATGAGTTTATTATTGCTATTTTTAAATTAATAAGAATCTTTGTAATTTCTTGGTTTTCCCATCTGATACAGTTATTGTCAATGGCTATAAGCTGCATGGACATAGCCCTTGAGGGGCCGTGATGGGCGACTCACAGGCATGCAGCTTGAACATGAGCTTGACCGTGTAGTGGTAGAGGTGGCTGCAGTCCTGGATGACCTGGATGAGTGGGGCCAGGCGGCACTGGCCTGAGGACATCTGGGACACGGCGATGGCTGTGTTGAGCTGCCGAAAAACTGCAAAGAGGGTGAAAGGGAGGGAGCTGTGAGCTGGGGTGGCCCACTCACTGCAGTGTCGGTGTGTTAACAGCCACGACACCACCTCTCTGGGGAGTAGGTCTGCAGATAAGGTGACAGCTGGGATAACCTGCTTAAGACCATCCATCTGGTTAGTGGGCCTCTAAAGCGGTTCTCAGACACCAACGGCTCTTAACCTCTACAGTGGGGGCCCATGTGCTGGTGATTGCCCAGGGCCAAGACGAGGTCAAGGGTGACGTGAGGTCAAGGGTGACGTGAGGTCAAGGGTGACGTGAGGTCAAGGCACATGAGCTCCAGATCAGCTCGGGTTTCCTGAAGCCTCTACCACGATGGGCCTGGGACGAAGAGCCAGAGTGACCAGGGAGACAAATAGCTGTGCCTGCAGGCCTCAAACCTGCTCTGAATTTCAGAAAAGAAAGGGGGCTGAGGACTGTGTAGCCCAAATGCCTCATTCTGCAGGTGTGGAAACAGGACTGGGCTTGTTCAAAGTCACACAGCAGTGGGGTCAGGACTCGCCTCTGCAAACCCCAAGTGGCCCAGAAACTGCACTTGCACCCAGGGCCAGTCTCCCCTCCCCGTGACAGTCAGGCCTTGTATCAGAGCTACCAAGTAGGAGGGACAAGGACAAACAGGAGGCTACCTCCTCCTTGGCCGGCCTCTCTTCTGGGGCAGAGACAGGAATGATGAAGAGTAGGCGGCCAGCCAGGGCAGGAGAGTGTTGTATCAGAGCTACCAAGTAGGAGGGACAAGGACAAACAGGAGGCTACCTCCTCCTTGGCCAGCCTCTCTTCTGGGGCACAGACAGGAATGATGAAGAGTAGGCGGCCAGCCAGGGCAGGAGAGTAGCCAAGTGGCCCCACATTGGACAGATGCCCCATGGTTCCACAACAGCCGGCCCCAGCCCCTTGTGTCCTGCTCTTGCCTTGCCTTGGGTAGTAGGACCTTTTGCAAACCTCTGTGGTGACAGGACAGCACCCAGGGAGGAAAAGGACAAGAAGGAAGAGGCAAAATGTCGTCCCTCACCTTTCTTAGAGATTAATTTCTAATTATATATCATTAAGAACATTTCCCTTATAAAAAACGTTAAAGTACATATAAAGTACTGCTTTGGGTTTTAAACATGCAGGAGGGTACTTCCAAACATTCACAGAAAGATTCGTATTATCTTTTAATTCTATTTTTCCATGAACGTTTGGAAGTACCCTCATATGTACATATTGTTCTGAATCTGCTTTATTTCATGCCAAAGAATGTTTTCTAGGTCCTTCCTACTGCACCTCTCTTAACAGCCACCGTCCATTCCCCACTATGCACAGACAGTGAGCCACAGCTGGTTCTCCATTGAACAGCATTCGGGATGTTTCTGTTTCCTGCTGTTGCAGACCTCGAGACAGGGAAGCCCCCACACTTGCCACCTGGGACTGCCGGTTGTCCCGTCTCGGTGCTTCATCAGGACATCAGTGCCACTAGAGGTGGGGTGCCTGCCTGCAGATTTTCTCAACTTCCTTCTGGGGACTGCTGCCTGCCACACTGGCCCCTTGGCATGTCTAGAGCAGCACAAGGTGGGGACGCAGGGGACCTGGCTCCCAATTGGAGGCCTCTGTGCTGTGAGAGGCTCAAGCTGAACTCATCTCTGCCTGGACACAAAGCCTGGCAGCCCCGGTCCAGCCCCCCAGCTGGGGCCACTCCCCTGTACCCCGGCCCTCTGCTCCCCACATGGGGTCTGGGCAGGCCCTCCCTCTGGACTCACCCTGCCTCAGCTTCCAGACCTGGGATGCAGGGAGGCTGCCCAGACTGCCTCTTTCCAACTCCAAATTTTCCCTTAAAAAGGCATGTGCTTCTCGCCCCCTGGGGAGAGCACTGAGTCACCCACAGGCTGTTTTGAAGCTGCTACCCAGAACAATCACCTCTCCAGCCAGGAGGGCGAGCCCTGTGAGACTTCCTTTTCAACTGCGGCCGGGTTCCCGGGCTAGGAAATCTGACATGACTCACAGGTTTTTTTAGAGCAGAAAATGGGCAAGACAGCTCAAACCAACTGTCCCCCGGGGCGAGCTCTGCAGATGCCCCGAGGCCAGAGCAGAAAACTGAACAGGTGGATCCCCACCAGCCCATGCCCCACCTATCCTGGGGCAGACAGAGTGGTGGTCACCAGATGGCTGAGGCTGCTCCCTAGGCATGCCTGCTAGGGGATATGCCGGGTGGAGGCCTGGCATTCTGGGGGTCAGGAGGCCTCCGTCGTACTTTGGGAGGTGCCATGAGGCTCCGTTGCCTACTCCTGGGAGGACTGTGTACCCCTGGAGTGGCAGGTGCATTTAAGAATGTTAGTTAGTCTGGTCGCTAATGTCTCCTCTCTTCCTCTCGTCCCAACTCTGGGCACTTCGCAATACGCTCAGAGCCCGGTACCTCCTCTCTGTGCGGCTCACCTGATTCAGAAAGCTTCAGCTCACAGTCCATGTAGTCGAACATCTCCACAGTGAGCTGGAAGCTACGGAGGAGAAAGGGGCAGTGAAAAAGGAGAGCACGGTCCATCAGCACAGCAGCTGTTCAGCAAATCAACGCACCTTCGCACAGGACAGCAGTCCTTCTGGCACAAATGCCTGGATTCCAAGCAAACCCCATCCCTTTAGCTTCTTTTCCCAGGAACATGACCTTCAATCTGAGAAAGCCATTTGACCACCACTGCCCCACATGGGATCCTGGGCATGAAATACTTTAGGAACAAACAAGGAAGCTGAGGGAAGAAGGGAAGTAGATGCCGGGCCACCCGCCATGCAGAGCCACTCACATGTTGTTGACGTCGGTCCCAGCTGCTTTCTCCAACACCTCGTCTGTCACCTCGAGGCCTGCAGGAAACTGAAGATGCTGTGGAGGGAACCCCACACTCAGCTGCGGCCAGGCTGGGCAGCCCACATGCTGGTCCCTGTCCATTGGTCTCCGTCCCCTGCTCCTGGCAGGCCGAGGTTCTGGCCCAGAACTGGCTCTAGCTCCCAAGAGAGGGGAAGAGGCCAGAGAAGCCCACCAGGCCCTTGCAGTGACAGAGGGCTGGCTGACGGGGGAAGCAGAAGGCGACGCACCATGCCCGGACAAAGGAGGCTGCTGGAGCCAGGGGCAAGGCTGAGGGCTGCCTCCTTGTCTGTGGGAAACATCTTGGGTGCTCTAGGGGTTCCTGACATCCTGGACTCTCTGTTTCCTCTTTGGTCACAGTCAGGACAAGGTGAGTGGACAGACCCATGGATGAAATAGATCCCGCCCTCCTCTATGTCCCAAAATGCCCAAACATCAGAGGGAAAAGCCCAGAGGTCCCTTCAGCCTCATGACTCCCCCAAGGAAACTACCTTGAGGTGGAAGGAGATCTTGGTCAGCAGCAGTTTAGTGTAAACATTCACCAGCTGTCCGTATCGGTCGTGCAAATGCCCCTGCAGAACAGAGCCCAAGATAAGGGGGCACTGCACGTGGACATGCCCAAGAATCTTCAAGGACCTGGGCATGTGTTGGGGCAAAGAAGGAAATGCAGTAGGAAGAGAGCGAAAACCAAGTGCCTGTCCTCACCTGCCCACCATCACTTATTCATTCAACAAACTCTTCCTAATGGCCTCCACCAATCTCACTCTGTCTCTAGCTTTTCTCTATCTTATCTGTTGTCATTCTTGCCAAAAGACTCTTGTGAGAAGAGAGCTCTTTGTCCAGGGCAACAGGCCAAGTCTGAGTTGGGACACTTTATTAAAAGTGCAGCTGACAAACGGGAGGCACATTCCGACACATAGCTAATAGGCACATCCTCCCAATTCCCTCCTCCAGACACCACATCCCCTGCAGCCACACCAGCCGGGCCTGAGTGCAGATGGCAAATGGACGCTGTCTTCCTTACTCCAAGGGATGTGGGTGAAATTCAGTGGTTCTGGGTTGAGCAATGCCCCTGGCCAGGCCTCTCACTGGGTCCCTGTTCCAGCAGATGCCCTGCTCTTGCCACCCCCACGGGCCGCCACCCCAGCTAACAAGAGCCCCATAGTGCTTGAGAATTAGGTCCGGGTCCTTTTCCCACTGGGGGTACCTCAACTCCTGGGTCTTGGAGTGAATCTAGAACACAGGCTCCCAGGGCTCCTAGACTTTATTGTGGGTAAAAGTCATCTGGAGAGAGTTCTGAACAATGCAGATTCCCAGTCTCGATTCTAAAGCATCTAGTCTGTGGGGAGCCTGGGAGTCTGCGCCCCTCACTCCGCGATGCTTGGGGTTTGAGGTTGCTACATTTTCCACCTCACAGGAACCGGTGGGCCCGGGTGATTCCCAGAGCTGGAGGTCCAGTTAGCTGTGCATTGGGAATGCCCTGTCCAGCTTAAAAGCAAGGCTGCCACTTCACATCTTCCAACACCACCTCCCCACTGTCACCCAACAAACACTGCTCTAAACTAATGCTCGGAGAGAAAGAAGAGGAAAGACAGCCACCCGAGGGCGCTGCCATTGGCGCAGCCTCCTGTGCTCCGGAGGCCCCCGTCCAGGGCACTGAGGCCACTGTGCTGCTCCCGGCACCTACCCACAGGTCTCCGATCTCGCGGATGTTGCTCCGGTACCGCTGGCAGTCGTGCAGCACCTGCGGAGACGGGGGTGGTGGTGAAGAACCCAGAGCCCTGTGGGAGTGGTCCTGGGACACTCTTCGCACCCCAAGGATGGGAGGGACACCCTGAGGGCAGCAGGGGGTGGATCAGCCCAGAGCTGACAGGACAAACACAGGGACAGAGCTGCACACCTCAAAGGGAACATGGCCCTACCTCCCAGGTGCTGGCAGGGGAAGGGACTACGGCCCCGCCCACCTCCTGCCCTCTCCTGGGCCCAGAGGGCGGCACCTTTACTCACATTGGGGTGCCCGTCCCGTAGGACCTTGTGGAGGACATGGCAGAACTTCCAGCTGAGGATGGCACTGCTGGGAAGTGGCAGGCCGATGGCGTAGGACCAGAAGGTGAAGGCCCCCTTCTCGTGGTGAGTGCCCAGAATGATGCCTGCGAGGGTCAAGGCCAAGAACAGGAAGGAGAGCCACACACTGGATGCTCAGGGGCCGCAGGGCCACGGTGGAGGGCCCTCTCCCTACGGCCGCTGGGTGCCTTCAGCCTGCTCCTCTCCCCCTCCCCGTCTGACACAGGTCCCCAACTTTAACGTGGCCCAACGGTGGTGCTGCCAAGACGAGAATCAGAGCCTGGGAGGAGGCAGGCCATGCAGGAGGCCCAGGGCACAACACAGCCCCCACCCCCCACATCCTCTTCCTCCCGCAGCCCCCAGAGGAGGGGCAAGGATACGGCGGGCATGCTTCTCCTTCACGGGGGCCTCCTGGCTGTTGATGGCTTTGCTGATGCTGATGGCCTGCAAGGGGCAGAAAGGCAGGGTTCAGACGCTGGCCCATGGGAGCCTTCCCTGGGAGAGACCACCCTGAGGGGACAGCGCCACCCACAGACAGGTTAAAGGAGAGTGTCACAATGAGTGGGGAGGAATACTTCCAGTCCAAGCAAACCAAACCTCTGCAGAATTTTCTCTTATGTGATACACGCAGCAAAAACTACAGCTAATACCCAATGCTACAAAGCCACCGAGAGCTGCCATGGGTCTGGAGGATAAGGACGAAGCTGGGCTGCAGCTCCAGGAGACCAGCTGTCTGAAACCTGCGCTGTTTAGCCCCAGCGAGGAGCGGCAGAGGTCGTGGCCTGACGGGGCGTCCTCCATCCCGCTGTAGCTGGAGGCTGGTACAGAGCCACACTGCAAACTGACAGGAGCCACACAGCACTACATGGAAATCAGGACAAACCCAGGTCCTGCCACTGTGTGCCACACAGGCCGCCTCTCTCCTGTGTGGGGCCGCATCCTGACTCGGCTCCCATCCCCACCAACGAGGATAGCAACTGCGGCCCCGCGGGATGGAGAAGGGTAGCAGGGGGGTCTGCCCAGCACACCTGCCGTTGCCACCTGAGAAGAACAAGCGGTGGCCTCACACTAGACCAGAGCCAGAACCTCTTCCACCCCCACCTACTGCAGCCCCATCTCCTGCAGCTTCACGCCTCCTCTTCCCAGAAGGCGGTGATCGTGCCCTGGTGCAAGGACCCCACTTCCCCCAGAAACTTCTGCCTGGCCCTGAGGCTCCTGGGGGCATGTTCTTTCTCTGCCTGGGGTGGGTCTGATAAGCTTCTGTCCTCCCACCATCCATTTGTGGACTGAGAGGAGCTGCTGTGTCGTGGGGCTGCGGGAGGAGGGCTGGGACAGCATTCTTTGCGTCTCCTCTGAGCTGAGCCCGCAGGCCTGGCCGGCGTGGGGAGCTGGGCAGCGGGGGACTGGGGGACAGTGTGGCGCACTCTCTCTTTCTCTCAGAGGCCACCAGAGCCTCTGGGCAGTAGCGACTGTCCCTGCCCTGCACAGAGGTGATTTTAGCCACTTGCAGTCTGTTGTGAAACTTTCTCTGTCTGTAAGAAAAGCAAGCGTAGGGAGTGGGGCAGCCCTTTCTGGTCAGATCCACAGGCAGGGGCTGCCAAGGAGCTGAGGCTGGGCTGGGCAGCCCTCGGCACCCGCCCTGTCACCAGGGCGCTGACCCCCTTTCACACACAGGGCCCATTGTGGCACCTCATTGGGATGCGCGAGCCCCAGGACTGCGGCTGAGCCCACATGGCTGGGCCCTGGGGACAGCTGCTATCCCAGGGTCCCGAGGAGATAAAGCCCGCTCTAGCTCCTCTTATTCTCAGAGCCGCTCCACCGGACCCGAAGGCTGCCTGGCCACACATACTGCTTTCTCAAGTTGGCTTCCCCCAGCCTCAGCAGCTTCCTCCCAGGTGGAACCCAGCAGCCATGCCCAGCTCTGCCTGCCCGGCCTGCACACCACATGCTGCTGAGGCAGAGCTCTGCCACCACGGTGGCGATGGTGATGACAAGGGTTACAATGTCAACATAAACCATTTACTGAGCACCTATCTCATGCCAGGCACAGGCCACAACCCGGGAAATAGTTAAAGTTCCATTTTCTTGGTGAGGAAACTGAGGCAAATAGGGTTAAGGATCTTGTCTGTACAGCTAACAAAGGCAAAGCCAGGGTTCAAAACCTTCAGAGTCACTGAGGACACGGGGCATGGGTCAAACCTGTGTCCTCAGCAATGCTGGTACTTCCTTCTGGTGTGAGGGGCCATGGAGTGAGAGGGTTGGGACTGGGCCTCCCCCAGCAGCCAGGCAAGCAGCTGGGGCTTACAGGCTGGGAGTATCCTGTCTCCAGGGTGTAACCCCATCCCCAGCTGCCCTGACACCTGAGCTGGCTCTTCTGACAACAGCCACCTGGTCTGGAAGAGTCCCAGCAAGAAGGCCAGAGCTGGAGCTACATTGGCAGGCCGGGCTGAAGTGGCTCAGGACACAGAGATGCAGGGCTTTCTCTTCCCAGGTCACGGGGACCCCAGGGAGGGCTGAGATATGAATTCACAACTCCCTCCTCCTCGCAGCGGCAGAGCACACACCCCCGGGGGCTGTGCAGTCCAGGGAAGGCTGGCCCCTCCTCTGAGCAGGAAGGACATTGTGAGGTCTAGGTGAAGCCCTCCCACCCCAGCCCCCCGCAGGTCACCAGGCAGAGCCCTGTCCTCATCATCGCCCCAGCTGGGCACCAGGCACGGCTCCCGGAAGAGCACCAGCTCCTCCTCTCCCAGCACCTCCCTGTTTAAACCTGATTTGTGGGTCTCTGAGGACCCATCACCCTCTGATGATGCCCGCAGGTCACCAGGCAGAGCCCTGTCCTCATCATCGCCCCAGCTGGGCACCAGGCACGGCCCCCGGAAGAGCACCAGCTCCTCCTCTCCCAGCACCTCCCTGTTTAAACCTGATTTGTGGGTCTCTGAGGACCCATCACCCTCTGATGATTACATATTTTCCTTATTCGTTTATTACCCATCTGTCGCCACTGGGATGATGGTGCCATGAGGGGAACCATCCTGCCCACAGATGCTGCTGTACCCCAGCCCCTGAACGGTACCTGGTACACGGAAGGGCGTCAAAAGCAGGGCCGCACTGGGATGTGGCATGTGGCAGGCCCTCCCCGTGCTGGCCGCAGAGGACAGCTTCTGTCCTGACCAGGCCCTCCCAGGCGGAGCTGGCTGGCTCCCGCAAACACAGCCCCGTTGTGTGCAGGGCAGGCAGCTGTGCAGCATGGCCCCAGGCACGAGCAGTCACACAAGGAGGCCCAGTGCTCACACAGTGGGAGTCTGTGGATGTCTCATGACCTCGCTGCTCCCACCAGGCGGCAGCAGCCACACCTCGTCCCAGGAGGGGGATGCCTGCTCACCTCCCGGCCTGCCCTGCTGGACTCCCTTGAGGAAGGGATCCCTGTGAGCACACCGGGTCCCAGTTTTGTGCTGCAGTCTGTACTGGGCATTTTGGCATAGCTCTACTCTGTGGTTTTCTGTCTCGAGGGACATCTGTCAGCGACACTTGGTCTGGGTCCTGTGGTTCCTAGCAGGTCATCACCAGCCCAGTGGGGTGAATGTGGTTCTCCCCATCTTGAAGGTAGGAAAACTGCAGGGTGCAGGGGGAGCCAGAGAGAAGCCCAGGCCCACCCATCCTGTGAAAGGTGTAGCCCCTTGGGCCAGAACAAGCCTGGGTGCTCTGACACAGGCAGACTTAACTCCTCAAGGCCATGGAGAGAAACCTTCAGGGAAATACAACCTTTGAGTGGAATGGATTGGTCACAGACCTCGAGGTCAGGACAGAAAACCCAGAACTGGAGAAAAAGAAGGGTCATAAGGGCAGAAGGCTATCGTTTTGGGGTCTGCTCATCAGCATCCTCAACTCCTGTGACTCCTAGGGAGGAAAGGACCTCAACACTGCCTGGCAGGGCTGCTTTCACACAACTTTGAGTGCCACATGGGGATACAGTGACAGAGCACAAGTAAGGGAAAGCTGTTCTCCCTGCTTCCAAAGACAGCGAGAAGGGCGCCTCTGGCTGGGCCAGTGGAGAGGCCCCTTCTGCATCAGGCAATGTCTCTGGAGGAAGCCGGGCAGGAACAACAATGTGAGACAGCCATGGAGCCTGGGGAAGGGAGGGTCTTCAGTGATGGCAGAGGCTGGGTGGGTGGGGGCAGCAGGTGATTGCTGTCTCATGGGAATGCAGACCATTGCAGCTCCTTCTGGAAATATACCACAGGCCCAGATCCCAGAAGCTACCTCGCCTCCCACTCCCTGAGTCTGCATCTTGTTCTGCCCAGGGCTGGGCAGCAGGCAGGGGCCTGACCTTGGGAAGGATGAGGGTGGGGGACGGAGCTCAAGGTACCCACATGGGGCCGAGGAAGGGCGAGGCTCCAGCTCGCTCCGGAGACAGAGCTTGTAGAAAACACGATATGCCCTAAGACCGGCGATCTGGTCTCACTAACCTAATAATAAAGTCATTTTCCCTAAGCTCAACCTTACGTGGGCCCTGTGCTGAGCACGTGTGGTGACCTCTTACTCGGTCCTCACAGGAACCCTGGAAGCAGGGGATGAGGAAAGGGACGCCTAAGGAGGCTAATCACCTGCCCAAGGTCACGGCGATAAACATGTTGACCAAACGCTTAGGCCATGCCTGCTGCCCTCCCAAGCACTTACATCCTCCACTGTTAACAGTGATGAGGACACCGCAGCATAGGGGCCACCGCCCCAGGCCCTCCCCACCAGTGGCTGGGCAGGATGGACCCTCAGGCACCGTCCACACGGCCTCTGGATTGTGAT